CATGAGATTGGGAATCAGGGTCGTATCCACTAAAAACCACTTCAAAATTAGATCTAAAGGCAACACGAGAGAGAGAGAGAAAGAGAGAGAGAGAGAAAGTTAGAGAGAGAGCGACAGAGAGTGATAGGGAAAGAGAGATAGAGAGGGGGAGAGCGCGTGAGACAGAGTGAAATAGAAGCAACAGATAGACAGATCCGACAAATTGTAATCCCAAAACTCCAAGAATTTGCAAGTTCCGAGCCTCAAACTGAGCGCGACTATGTTGTGTGGGGGTGCAGGTGTGTGTGCCGAGGAAGGCCATTCAAAATGTGTCTCTGACTAGGGGCAAGAGAGCACGAGAAGGGTAGAGGGAATCGAGACATAGGCCCCGGAATGGGCCATGCGCCCCGGCCATGGATCCGCGCAGTGGGAGTACGGGCGGATACTCTTCACGACGGCAGCAGGTGTGCTCTTTTCGGTAGATTATGGCGGTTGGGAGGATGGGTAGGGGTTGTTTATTTCTTGTAAACAAGGAAATGCTATTTTTTTGGCATATCTTCTTCTCGAAAACGGCTTTTTGGTTTTGAACTTGCTGCTGGTATAGTTGGTTCTGCTAAATTTATATAGACTTCAAGCCTAGCTTTCGAATAAGAATACCGCTTGTGATTTATGCATTGTTTTTAGCTATTTCTTAGCATAAAAATCCGCTAAAATTACCTAAAAACATTTTTTACTCGGATAAATCCGGTTTTTGGGCTAAAGTCTAGAAATTTTCGAAATGCCTGGACTTTTTAGCCTTTTTTAGAAGTTTTTATACTTTAAATATAGCTGAGGTTCGCCATAAATATTAAAAGACACTATGCTGATTTACTAGGCGACCCAGGGCCGGATAGCAAAAATTTGGTTTGGGAAACTCGATCGCCGTCAAGGTTTTGCTTTGCCAGTCCCTTTAAAATCCTCAAAACGTATTTTTTTTTTGTTACTTGCTGGGATCGATTATCATTAATGCATGGAGCTCCGCTCATTAATTTAAATAAACCAGGACTTGAATACCAAAATCAACATATCATCACGAGAATTTGCTCAAAAGATCAAGAGCGAGCCGGGCGTTCGGTCGCGACCCCCCACCTGTTTGTTTTAGTTTTTCTCCGTAGTGTTTTGGGCCGTTCGGTTAAGCTCTTCATCAAATAGCCAAGCGTTCCAGGTCATGCTAAAGGCGTGCAGAACCGGGATACAAAGACGGGGAGCCGCCAAAATCATCGCTCGGGATCCGGATTATGCAAGGTACGAGATATCCCTCTCTCTTTCTCTCTCTCTTTCGCTCTCTCTCTTTCTCTCTCTCTCCCTCTCTCTCTCTCTCGCTCTCCTTTCGACCCGAATTTCCAGGCTGAACGGCCAGGATCTACAGTTCTTCGAGGGGATTGTTGGCAAAGCAAGGGTGCTGACGGAAAATCTTGAGTCGTACAACAGTGATTGGTCAAAATGGTATACAGGTACGCTAGCAGCGATCATTTGGGAATGGAAGGGGCAGGCTGGCAGAGATCATTTGGGAATGGAAGTAGGCAGGCTAGCAGAGATCATTTAGGAGCCTCCCAGTGCGTTATACAGCCCTCTACTTCCGAAGAAAGTTTCCGCCATTCTGCGTCATTGCCACGATCGGAGGATTGCGGTTGTTCCACAGGTATATTTTAAATGGCGATACTACCCAATTTCCATAGGAAACCAATTTTATAGATTTTTAAAGCCTGGGAAGCCAGAATCCAATGAAAGTCAAAATCTGGACCAAATTTTAGGCAGGAAACACCGGCCTTGTAGGAGCCAGTATCCCGGTCCACGATGAAGTCGTACTGTCTGTGAGGAAGATGGACAAGCACTTTGAATTTGACGATCATACTGGTGCCCTAGAACTTGGCTAGCGTAACCCTGCGTGTAGGTGTACTCTCTTGTGATGCCGGCCACATTCTGGAGGAGCTGGAGAACAAGCTGGCCAAGTGGAACTACATGATGCCGTTTGATCTGGGGGCCAAGGTGGGAAGACGGAGAGAGAGAGAGAGAGAGAGAGAGAGAGAGAGAGAGAGAGAGAGAAGGAAAGTCAGTGACCCATTTTTTTCAGGGTTCTTGCCTGATCGGAGGTAATTTGGCCACGTGCGCCGGCGGTATCCGGCTGCTTCGCTACGGTAGTCTACACGCTCATGGGCTTGGCTTGACAGTGGTATGCAAATTTTGATAATCCTTAGCTTTTTGAATGTTTTTTAGGTTTGCCCCGACTCCAAGGGCTCAATTCTCGAGCTTGGCAGTGGGTTGCGGAAGGACAACACTTCACTTCACTCCCATCACTTGTTTTTGGGGTAATTCAGCTCTTTCTATCACGCGCTCTCTCTCACTCTCTCTCTCTCTCTCTCTCTCTCACGTTCTCTCCCTCTATCGCATTCTATCAATTTTTAAGCTCGGAAGGCCAACTTGGTGTCATCACCTGCGTCAGGATGACATGCGTCACCCGCCCTTTGAGCGTTCAGAGCGCTATGATCGGTACGTCATTTTCTGCGCTTCTACCGTAACCTGCCGCCATTTTCAGGCGCCAACACGTTCGATGATTGCCGCAAAATTCTGCGCATCGCCAAGGAAAAGTTGGGCGAGATTCTGTCTTCTTTTGAGATGATGGACAGGGGGACGATGGGGGTGTTGAAGGTCGGATTACTGTTGCTAGGCATACGGTATCCTATTTTCAGGATAATCTCGAATTTGACAATGTTTTACGATCGGATCCGCCGTTTAATTTGTTAATTGAAACTTCAGGTAGGGCGGAGAGAGAGACATGGAGAGAGAGAGACAGTGAGAAAAAGAGAGAGAGACAGGGGAGAGAGTGAGAGAAGATTCACATTCTTTTTAGGTTCCAACGAAGCGCACGACCGCGAGAAGGTGGACAGCTTCTTGGAGCACTGTCTTTCTCAGGGTCTAGCTATGGATGGAGTACAAGTCGGTCTCTAAATAGTTTTTTATTAAAGACACTAAGGAGCCGAGAATCTACCCATCCAACTACTAGGTCTAGACAGCTAGGCGAGAGCCCAAACGAGTTTCTGAACAAAAGGATCTCTACCTGGACGTGTGAAATGTCATTTCGCGCGTCGCGCAGCTGTCTAGACCTAGTCGAAAGAGGGGTCGATTCTGGGGCTTCCTAGCTATCTTAAACCGATTGCATCTAGGCGCAATCCCACGAAGAAGCTCGTCTAATGTGGCGGCTCCGGGAATCGGCTACCATTGCTTTGACGATGGATGGCCAAGTGTTCAAGCATGATGTCTCGCTGCCACTTGATCATTTCTATCGACTGACTGAAGGTAGAGAGAGAGAGAGAGAGAGATAGGGAGAGAGAGGGAGAAAGAATAAGTGGGAGAGACTGACGGACTGACTGACTACTTTCAGAGGTCCAAAAGCGTGTGGGCGACGTCGCAAAACGGGTGGTGACGTACGGGCATATGGGTGATGGGAATAGCCACCTGAATTTGACGTCGACCAAGGAGAAAGCGGAAGAGCTGTATCAAGTGTAGGTCTTTCTCGCTCATTCTCGCTCACTCTCTCTAGCTCTCTGCTCTCTCTCTCTCTCTATCTCTGTCTTGCTCGCTCTCTTTAATACGCCGATTTCCAGCTTGTACCCCTTCGTCTACGAGTGGGTGGTGAAGCACGGCGGCTCGATTTCGGCGGAGCATGGGATTGGTACGTGCCCTCAATTTCAAAATCATCTCTGCTAGCCTGTCCCTTCCATTCCCAAATGATCTCTGCTAGCCTGTCCCTTCCATTCCCAAATGATCTCTGCTAGCCTGCCCCTTCCATTCCCAAATGATCTCTGCTATCCTGCCCCTTCCATTCCCAAATGATCTCTGCTAGCCTGCTCCTTCCATTCCCAACTTATCTCTGCTAGCCTGCCCCTTCCATTCCCAAATGATCTTTGTTAGCCTGCCCAGCTCCATATTTTCCAGGCCAACTCAAACGTCCGTATGCAAGTTTCGGCAAGCCGCCTGGGGAGCGCGAGCTGGTGAAGGCGCTGAAGGCCGTCTTCGACCCCAGATCGATCCTTAATCCTTACAAATTTATTTGAGCTTGCTGTGGTGATTGTGATACTGTAGTATACATTTTATGCATATTGAAAGCTTAAAATTCTTAGAAAATTCTTATTGTTTTTTTTGTAATAGGTTTTGTATGTTTTTACGACCGGTTTCTCTATGCTTCTTGGTGCCTTGTTTTTCCGGATACTGTGATAAATTTTCTTAAGGTACTGCAGCAAAAAAAGAATAAAATTTTTGTTTTTGGGTTTCAAGAATTTGAAGTATTTTTAGCAAATCCAACCAGCAAACCTGCCAGGAAAACATTCAAACACTTTATACACAGGCGACAGTAAGAAAAGTAATACAGCCAGTAGTCCAGTATAGAGTTGTTATAACTCAAACAAAACAAGGCCTCAAACAAGCTTGTTTGAACAATGTTGTTTGATAGGATTTTTGGAGATTCAAATCAAACATGTTTTGTTTGAGATGACCGTTGATCGCTCAAACAAAACAAGATTGTTTGAACTATTTGAGCAGTTTGAGCTTTGTTTGACTTTGTTTGAAATGTATGCTAATTTTGGATTTAAAGCGTGTTTTTTTAGTATTTTCGCAATTAGCATAAATTTTTTCCGGTAAAATTTGTTTTTGAATGTTTGAATCCGCTTCCGGTCCCTCAAAAATCCCCAAAAATCTCAGAGTTTAGGGTGCTCAAACAAGTTCAAACAAGTCAAACAATCTTGTTTGATTTGAATCCCCTGGAACTCAAATCAAACAAGGTTGTTTTGTTTGAAACTTTTTGAGCTCAAACAAAACAAACTTGTTTGAGTTGTTTGAATAATTTGTTGTTTGTTGTTTGAGTTATAACAACTCTAGTCCAGTATTCCGGTTATAGCATAGCATTTTTTAGCGTGGTTTTAGAAGAGTTTTTTTTCGGTTATTCGGCTTGATGAAGGGCTTCGTCGATCTAGGAGTTGTTTTTAGCCCAGCCCGATACCGCCGAGGCTGTCGAAGTATTGCAGTTCGCCGCGGCTCGAGTCGCGTTTGCCGAGACCCATTCCTGAAAAGTACATTCAAAAAGTTGTCGCGGCCTCTCTCACACTCTTTCTCTCAGTCTCTCGCTCTCTCTCAGGCTCTTTCTCTATCTATCTCACTCCCACTCGCCCTCTCGCCCATGGCTTTCTCCCTTTCCATCTCTCTGTCTCTCTCTCCCTCTCTCTCGCTCGCTCTCTCGCTCTCTCCCCCCCCCCTCTCATCGCCATGAAACGGGTTTCAAAAACCACAACAAAATCAGATTGGAATGTCATATAGTTATCTAGACCTAGGGGTCGAAGCTTGGCTTTCTGGTCCCTTTAAGACGGTAACCTTTTAGCCTACCAACCTCCCAGGCTGTCCAACGAGTACGCATTGTAGGCGGACTTCTTGAAGCGGCCGCCGTCGTAGGCTGGTCGTAGTCTGAAAATGGCTGCGTCAGCGGGAAGTTAGAGAGAGAGAGAGAGAGAGAGAGAGAGAGAGAGAGAAGATAAAGAGAGCGAGAGAGAGCGAGAGAGGGGGAGAGAAAAAAGGAGAGAGAGAGGACAGAGAGAGAAAGCGACGGAGGCAATACCCACCGTAGCTTCAGCGACTCTGGTGCGGCACCGGACCGCTTGCCAAGACCGATACCTCCGAGTGTGTCGAGGGCATAGTAGCTGAAATTATCACCTTTAGACAAATCTTTGACTTTTAAGGGAACTGGTAAGCCACTTAAGTGAAAAATGTCGAAAAATCAATGGCTTACCGTTTCTCCCAGTTCCCAGTATTGCGCTTGAACAGACTGGTCGGATCGTACATATCATACGAAGGACCGGGGTCCCGTTTTTGCATACTTCGCCATTGGGCCTCCATTTCGCCGATGGGTTGTTCTCTCTGAAAATTTGGTCTAGATCAAAAATCTCTCTCGCTCGCTCTCCATCTCTATGGCTCTCTCTCTCTCTAGTTACCAGATATTTTTTGGTTTTTTTTTTAGATTTTAGACTTTAAAAATTGAAAGCCCCTACCGTATCGCCGGCCAACGCCATCACGAAGAGCGCCGCGCTCACTGCCAGTGCATTGAGCATGCCGGGAGTACCTTAAGTAAAATTCCTATCTTGTCCTGATGATTCGGAAGTGGCAAAAAAAATATTAAAAACACATACTAAAAATCTACATGAAATAGAAATTAATAAAAATTAAAGCAAGGATAAAACCGGATCCGTGTGAGAAAATGCGAAAATTTGAAATTTGCTGCAAACCAGCAGGCGAGTCAAACAATGGTCAGCTAGCAGGGATTCTTTAGGATGGTCACAATAGGAATTCGGCCTCAAAATCAGCTGGACCGCTTCAGGGTTACGTTATGCTCCTTTGCACTGTTGGAATCCAGGCTGGCTCGTGTTCAAAACCCACGCCCTAAACATTTTATTCGACCCCTGGGGACCAGGTAGATGCCAATAAAGCTCGATTTTTGGTGTCGGTTCCATGATTTTGCCAATTTAGAACTGAGGGACCGAAATTCTGCGAATTCACGTGGTTATTGGAGATAAAAATTGTATGATGGCGAAAATTCCGCTCGTTAAATAAAAGACGCGGAAAGCCGGAAATAACTTTCTGAAAATATCGAAAAACTTAAATAATTCAAAAACTAAAATGCTTTTTAAATCAAAATAATTTTTGCGGGGCTCGAGGTGAAATTCATCGAGTTTCAGATTGCGTGAAAAATTGGATCTTTCGAGGCTTCTTCCAAATAATTTTAGCGGAATTTCGAACTTCGGGGGTAACAAAGAGAATCGAATTTTGGGTCTACGGGCCGAAAAGTTAGCAATTCACGGGGAGTAGCTCAATTTGAGAAGCGGATGTTGCTCCTCAGAGTGGGTTCTCTACAAAAATAAGAGTGTCATTAAAATCTACAATAGCCTAAATATACTCGTTTTGGAAAAAAATGAAGACTACGGATTTTGCTGCTGTTTTTGTAGCGATCCTTTTCGAGTTAATTCAAGACCCTAACAACAGATTTTAAAAAAATTTATGTTGCTTTTCAGAGCAATTCTTTACAAAATGAGTTTATTAGGGACAGCAGCATCTTTAACCATGATTTTTCAAAATAAAAAATGAAAATTGCGCACTTTTTAAAGCCAATTTATAATTTTTTAGGCATCTGGAGTGACGTAAGACTATAAAAAAATTATTTCTAAAAAGAGAATTTTTAGTCAGCTCCTGGAATTACGCAAAATATTGCGCACTTCCCGTGTCTCTAGCCTTATTTTGGTGCATCGACAATCAGCATGCCCTCAGTTAAGCTCTACTTCCTGTAGAAAAAAGGGAAAATTACCTAACTGTAAAGTGTTTTTACTCAACTTGGAGTTTCGATTCGGGACCAAGTGCATCTTGTACAGAATTTTTCGCTGATTCCGAATATGTTTTCCAAATTTGCTACGGACTTTTATTTAAAAATCATTTTTGGTAACAATTAGGCCGAAAAATGCCAAAACCCAGACGCTGGCCCACTATTCCTTGTTTGGGGCTATGGTTCCCAGGGGCCCTGAAGTACCTCTGGCAGCACCTAAACAGTGGGGACCATGGTGCATTGGCAAAGTACTGTTAGTTAAGCGCAGTGGGCGGCGGTTCGGGGCCGGCCTGCATCATTTCTTTTGCTTTTTGCTTAAAAATCTCATTTTTTACCCAAACGCTGTTTTTCGCTGTAGGATGCTTGTCGAGCCAACGCCTAGTCAATTTTGACGTTGAAATTAATGAAGAAAGTCGAAAACTATAACGATACCTTGATTTTGGTGAAAAATAGGGTCATAATTACGCAGTGTTCCTTCGAATAAAAGTCCGTAGCAAATTTGGAAAACATATTCGGAATCAGCGAAAAATTCTGCACAAGATGCGCTTGGTCCCGAATCGAAACTCCAAGTTGAGTAAAAACACTTTACAGTAAGTCTAGACAAATCTTGACAAGGATTTGCCAAGAGCAGCCTAAGCCGGATTTGCGATTTATTTTTCCCCTGTTTAACTGAGAAATACGACCTGTAAAAATATAACCACAAACGAATTTCAATGAGAGTAAAACGAGACAATAAAAGATTCTATTAGTGCGTGAACACGCACATTCGAATAGTTTTATGATATTTTGTGTTGCTTTTACGTTTATATACTGCGACCCGCCCAAATCATCGGGCCCATTTCGAATTCACCGGGATAAGCCGGAATATTGGGATTACTGTAGTCACCGGGAAAGAAAAGGGATAAACAATAACAAGGTACTGCGTAAGATTGAGAAATTGACACGGAGAACTTTGGAAGAGGATAGAAGGGGCAGGCTAGCAGAGATTATTTGGGAATGGAAGGGGCAGGCCAGCAGAGATCATTTGGGAATGGAAGGGGCAGGCTAGCAGAGATCATTTGGGAATGGAAGGGGCAGGCTAGCATAGATCATTTGGGAATGGAATGGGCAGGCTAGCAGAGATCATTTGGGAATGGAAGGGGTAGGCTATCAGAGGTCATTTGGGAAGCTGGCAGAGATCTCTGAGGAGTACCACCATTCCTAAGCCCCCAAGATTACGGTAAGTTCCCCTCTGGCGTCTGCCCATAGGATCGAGACGGAAAAACATACACAACGAAATCGGCAGAGCTGCTTTTGGTGGGAATGGGCAACAGACTGCTGTGTTGTCTACCCCTCCCCCCCGAATCCCACCGATTTGGCATTTTTAGCCTAATTTTGGGAATTGGGTTGTCAAATGGCTCGGGGATGGGCACTTTGGCGGATTGGCTCTCCCCGTGAGCATCCGCTTGTGTCACTGGATTTTTTTGGCATTTGGGGCAAGGCGGAATTGCGGAATTTGGAGAATCGGAAATGGCAACAGTCGGATAGCTTCCGCAAATTTGCAGCTTAAATGTCAGCTTTGGAGACTTAAGCGGAGGCTGAAGGAAATCCCAAATTTTTTAGCGAAATATTTTTTAGCAGACCGTTGGGACGTATGCGGCTGCGTTGCTCGTGCTCGTGCTCTCTCTCTCGCTCTCTCGCTCTCTCACTCTATATCTCTTTCCCTCTCTCTCTCGCTCTCCCTTGCAAAGCACCCAACAAAAATTGAGGCTTGTGCCCGGAAAAAGGCACCTTTCGCCTTTTTGCCTATTCTGAAGCGTGGATAGAAACGTAAAGTACAGTAACCTTCAAAAAAGGCGGATGAAGAAAAGACCTATGCTTGGATTGAAAAAGTTACACAAAGGTATGGGAACGTACTAATGAAGTGAAATGTACGGTGGTTCGGGACGGATTTTAGGACATTGTTTGCACTCTAAATTTATGATAAGTAGGGTTCCGAATTTTAGAATTGCAACCATCTCGACCAACCAAGAAGCTCGACTACGGAAATCGCGACAACAAAAAAATCCGACTAGTAGGAATATCGATATGGCAAATCCTGATAGGCAAAAATCCCGATAAACCAAAATTCTGCCAACCGTAATATCGACGGCTAAAATCCCGACAGCCAAAATACCGACATAATCTTGGCGCCAGTTGGAATGCCACTTATGTTTATTTACCCAGTCGGTATTCTGGCTGTCGGGATTCTAGCGGTCGGAGTTTCTGCCCTTTGGGATTTCGGTTGTCGGGATTTTCGCCTGGATGGTGCTTTGGCGTCGGGATTTGGCTTGTCAGCGTTTTGGGTGTCGGTATTCAGGTATTTTCACTAAATTTTTATGCAAGCAATTGAGTTTTGAGAAGTTTAAAACGGTTGTGTGTTACTCAAAATTTTGGAAAGTTTTGGAGCGCCCTGACTTTCATCCAAAAAAGAAGAAACTCCCATCGCAGATTCGCAAGTTTCTTCATTCCTCGAAAAAAGCGGACTTTCCCTCGGAGCTCTTGACTCGAAAGATTCTCGCAAAAACGATGGTTTCCGCCGAAAATTGCGCATTTTATAGTGTGAAGATGTGTTAAGAAAGTCGGTAGAATCTCAAGCTGTCGGGTCCAACAAACAATTGCCAGCATTGAACTAACCAAGGAACCCCAAAATGACTAATCAAAAATTCGGGTTCATCTTTTCTCCAGAGGGACTGAGACCACTAGAGAGTCCAAATTTTGGGCTTAATTGGATTGGAATTGAGTGGATTTTGGAAGTAATTTTCATCAAATTTCATCGACGCCGACGACGAGGAGGACTCCGTCGTCTGGAGCGAACTGGAAAACCCCGCTTTGACGTTACCTCATTGACGTCTACCAACGCTAGCTCGGAGCCATCGGGGATCCCCGAATCTCCTCCCCCCCCACTCCGAACAAATTTTCGATTTGCCCCGCCGAATTTATGCCCGTACGGAGGAGTCCCGGGAAACGAGAATCGCCAAATTGGAGAAAATTGGGCCATCTGCAGGTTTGAGGGGGGAACAATGGATTTCTCGAGTAGGACCATGGAAATCTGGGATCCTAGGGTACTAGCAGAGCACATTTGGGAATGGAGGGGGCAGGCTTGCAGAGATCATTTGGGAATGGAAGGGGCAGGCTAGCAGAGATCATTTGGGAATGGAAGGGGCAGGCTAGCAGAGATCATTTGGGAATGGAAGGGGCAGGCTAGCAGAGATCATTTGGGAATTGAAGGGGCAGGCTAGCAGAGATCATTTGGGAATGGAAGAGGCAGGCTAGCAGAGATCATTTGGGAATGGAAGAGGCAGACTAGCAGAGATGATTTGGGAATGGAAGGGACAGGCTAGCAGAGATCATTTGGGAATGGAAGGGGCAGGCTAGCAGAGATCATTTGGGAATGGAAGGGGCAGGCTAGCAGAGATCATTTGGGAATGGAAGGGGCAGGCTAGCAGAGATCATTTGGGAATTGAAGGGGCAGGCTAGCAGAGATCATTTGGGAATGGAAGAGGCAGGCTAGCAGAGATCATTTGGGAATGGAAGAGGCAGACTAGCAGAGATGATTTGGGAATGGAAGGGACAGGCTAGCAGAGATCATTTGGGAATGGAAGGGGCAGGCTAGCAGAGATCATTTGGGAATGGAAGGGCAGGCTAGCAGAGATCATTTGGGAATGGAAGGGGCAGGCTAGCAGAGATCATTTGGGAATGGAAGGGGCAGGCTAGCAG